GGTTCTTGGAGATGATTACTGTTTTGCCAGAGGGCAGCCTTGCCATTATACATACATAATTGCCTTCATTTGGGTTTGCCCCTAGAGGCTCTGCTTTTCCTGTATTTCAGGATGACTTCAGGTTTTCAATTGAGAGTCTTATTGGCCTTTGGGCAGAGGAGTATCTTGACCAGGACACTGTAAAAAGCTGAGCCCTAGTTTCTCTTATCTTTGTGCCTTCAGCCTTGAAGAGTGACACATGGTAGGTATCAGTGGTTTTTGTTTCTTTGTATTTTTTAGTTTGTTTTGTTGTTTTCGTTTCTTTTCTTTACTTTTTTTTTTTTTTTTTTTTTCTCGAGACAGGGTTTCTTTGTAGCTTTTGGAGCCTGTCCCGGAACTAGCTCTTGTAGACCAGGCTGGCCTCGAACTCAGAGATCCGCCTGCCTCTGCCTCCGAGTGCTGGGATTAAAGGCGTGCGCCACCACTGCCCGGCTGTTTTGTTGTTTTTGGTTTTTCAAGACATGGTTTCTTTATGTGGCTTTGGCTGTCCTGGAACTCACGCTGTCGACCAGGCTGGCCCGAACTCACAGAGATCCACCAGCCTCTGTCTCCCGAGTGCTGGGATTTAAGACGTGCAATGCTAGCACCTGGCTATATCAGTGGTTTTTAAACAGACTGAGTGGTTAACAAAACTGTATGCAGAGACACGTGACTCAAAATAAAACAGATGAGAGTGACGACAGAGGCAGGCTCTTACCCTACTCTTAGTCGTGTGCTTCAGAGAGGAGTCAGTGCTTTTCGGTAAACACAGGTTTCTAAGTGTGCACTATAGCTTTCTGAGTTGCAGTTCCTAATGCTAGATCTCACACCTGGGACCAATGGCTAATTGAGGTGCCTTTTAACTTATCAAATCGAACCTGACTACCAGGTTCTCCCAGCATCCCTCAGTTCCTTACCTATTACTGGGTATGACTGCCATATCTTACCCCCTACCCTAAATTTCTCCAGCCCAGAGGCTGGGCTGCTTTCCCCCAGCTGCCCTTTAATCCAACCATTTTGGTAACCCACCCTTCTTCCTCTACCCGTCTCCCCACCTCCTCACGTGACCTGACAGAGGTTCCTGTTCACTCTGAACTCCCCTGGGTCTCCTGTCTCTGGCTGTGTTCTCCCTCCTATCTGCAATAAACCTTCTCTTTGGCTACACCTAGGACAATCCAATGTCTTCTCCTTTTCATTTCTTTTTCTCATTCACCTGGGACCCCAACAAAGTGTTTGTGCTTCTGCCTTCTGCCGTCTCAGAACTTTAACTGATCGACACTAAGGACTAGAGCTCCAAATTTAAGGGAATAATAATACTTTTTGTTCGTTTGTTTCCTTTTCTGAGTCAGGGTTGATCTGTGTAGCCCCGGCTGTCCTGGAAGTCACTCTGTAGACCAGGCTGGCCTGAATCTCACAGAGATCAGCCTGCCTCTGCCTCCCAAGTGCTGGGATTAAAGGCGTGCACCACCCCTGCCCTACCAATACATTTAATACATTGTAAGTATTATTATTATTCCCAGCTGGGCAGCGGTGGTAACACAAGCCTTAATCCCAGTACTTACATAGGCCCTCTTAATATGCCCTCTCATTTATTTCTTTCTTTTTGAGACAGACTCTCATGTCACCTAGATTGGCATTGAATTCATGCTTGAATAACCTGCTGAAGATTGGGATAACAGGCATTTACCACCACACCAACTCCCTTTTGAGACAGTCTCAGGCTGGCCTTGAACACCATAAGTACCTCAAACTCCTGATCGTCTTGCCTCTGCCTTCTGAGTGCTGGGATTATAGTATTATGGGATTGTACCATTATGCTAGGCTAACACTCTACCAACTGAACTACAGTCCTTTAAAAAAATTACTGCAGGTTCACAGAAAAATTGTGGTGGTGCATGCCTTTAATCACAGCACCCAGGAGGTAGAGGCAGGAGGATCTCTGTGAGTTCAAGGCCAGTCTTGTCTATGGGGTGAGTTCCAAGATAGCCAGAGCTACACAGTGAAACAATCCTGGCTCAAAACTGTACACATAATCTTCTCACTCCACACTCTCTGTTTTCAGCATTGGCTGCTTGAGGCTTGTAGAACATCATGAGGAGAGTTGTGAACTCATGGCTCTAGGTATTTTTGGAATTTTCTGTGATGCCCTCCCTACCCCTTTTGAATTACTGGGCTGTGGTTTCTTCCCTTAAAAACCCCTTCTCCTGGTCACTCGGGGTCGAACTCCTCCCCTGCGTGGGTTACAAGTCTCGGCCCCAGTGCACTGGTACCTGTCAAATAAACCTCCCGTGACTGCAGCAAGGTCAGTCTCTTGTGAGTTACTGGGGAGGGGGGTCGTGTTATCCTGAGACTTGAGTGAGAGTCTCCCCACATCGGGGGTCTTTCAACAAATGAGGCTTTGAAGGGAGGGAGAGTCTTCAAATCCAGAGGACAAAGAGTTCTTAGAGGTTTCCTAAAGGGGTGGATTGAGAAAATAAAGTTACTTGTAACTTAGTGTGCATGGTCCCTGGGATGGAGGAGGAAGGCCAACACTAGGAAGCAAAGTTACAATTCAAAGTTATTTAGGTTTTGGTCTCAGGGGGAGAACTCAGCTTGTTTGCAGCTAGCTGTAAGGGGGACCCATAGAATTCTGTGAAAGCCTTAAGGCTGCAGCACAAGAGGATAAGGAGAGAGAGAGAGAGATTATGAGAATTTGGGGGTGAGGTGGGGGAAGGCCTGACTTTAGGGAGAGAACAGCAGCTGGAAGATCTGTAACTCAACAGTTCCCAGTCCAGATTTGCTATCTATCTATTATCTATCTATTATCTATCTATCTATCTATCTATCTATCTATCTATCTATCTATCTATCTATTTATCTATCATCCATTCATCTATCCATCTCTCATCCATCTATTTATCTATCATCCATTCATCTATCATTTATCATCCATTCATCTATCCATCTATCTATCATCCATCTATTTATCATCCATTCATCTATCTATCTATCTATCTATCTATCTATCTATCTATCTATCTATCTATCTATCTCTATATCATGTATGTGTATATGTATGCGTGTATGTATGTTAGCTAGAAGCAGAACTGCAGACTAAAAGGTTAGTACATTTAGAGACTTTCCCAGAGCTATAGGCTTTGGTGGACTAGGTCTTTGTTTTAGTTTTGGCAGGTGGTGCTGTCTACTTGCTGAGTTTTATAGTCTGAATGGTACGTTCATCGTGAATTCAGTTGTGCTAAGGTCTGGGGCCCTGTCACAAGGATGGCCTCAAACTCTTGTTATTTATTGAAGATGATGACCTTGAACTCCTTCCTGGTCCTCTTGCTTCTCTTTCCTGAATGTTGAGATTACAGAAGGGAGCCACCTCGCCCGGCTTTTTCTGAGGCTAGAGTTGGAACTCAGGGTGTCAGGCCCTCCAAGTGAGCATTCTAACTGAACCACAGTCATTGACTCCCCCACCCCCACCCAGTGCTCTTACTGGAATCAAAGGTTCATTCTGCTCTCCTTTCAACCAATCCCCCCTCCAAGAGAGAGAAGTTAAGGGGAGAAAGTCCCTGGAGAAAATTTTTCTGTCTCAAATCTCTTGGGGTAAGAACTAGGGTGGGAAGGTCACCAAAAGGTCACAGTTTTACAGTGGGCAGGAAGTCCTGTCGAGGAGCAGTCTAATTAATTCTCCGGATACCTGCTGGTTTTGGAAAGTTTGGAAGTGGGATCTCCTGGTTTCAATGTCTGCATTTTGTCTTCAGCCAAATTCTTGAGAATTGAGAGGCCTAAGCTGTCCCGGGTGTCCTTTCTTAGAACACCACCTGAAAATCTGAAAGTGACAGGTCCTTAAAATAGCGGAAGGCCTGGCAAAAGTAAGCAGAAGTGAAATGTCCACGTGCTCTAATGCTGGAGTGCAAATCCATTGACTCTGCACACCAGGCAACCTGCCAGCCGAGAGCCGCCTTCACTCTCTGGCCCTGGAAGTTTAAACACATTCTTCAGTAAATTTGTTGACTTGGGTGGAGATGGAATCCAGGGCCTGGGTATGCTAGCTTAGCACAAACGAACAATAAACAGACAAACAGGGTGGGGATGTTAGATTTGAGACGTAGTTTCGTGGTGGGTTACTCTTCAGAGCCTCAAAAACACAAGAGCCCCCCCCCCCCAAAAAGTATGAAACACAAAGGAGGCTTTACTCCTGAAGCTAAACAAAGGGATAGGGGCTGGAGAGATGGCTCAGCGGTTAAGAGCATTGCCTGCTCTTCCAAAGGTCCTGAGTTCAATTCCAGCAACCACATGGTGGCTCACAACTATCTGTAATGAGGTCTGGTGCCTGCAGACATATACACAGACAAAATATTGTATAATAAATAAAGGGATAGGAATTTAAGAGGAGAGATAACGGAGTGGGGGAGTGGCGGGGGGGGGGGAGTTGAGCAAAAAGGAGGAAGCATCTTGAGCTAAGGTTTTCCTTTTTGTGGAGGAGGGGAGATTGGGTTTCGCTATGATACAATTAAAGGCCTGCACCACCACTCCTGGCAACCCGCCAGACTCCTCCTCCTTTTAGATTTGTTATACTTTATGTATCAATCTTCTGCCTGCGCGCATGTATGTGCACCATGCACCTGCTGAGTCTCCTGGAGCTGTACTTCTGAAAGGATGAATTCTGGTAATTAACACTACCTATATGTTAAAGAACCATCAAAAAGGAAACCCATCCGGCGTGGTGGCAGGTCTGTAAAATATGCACCCGGAAGGCAGAAAGAGAGAAAGGGAAGACTGCGTTAGATTGTAGGCCAGCCTCCTCCACAAAGGGAAAAGCAAGAGGATCTCAACTTCCTGAAAATGGCCCTCAGCGCCTGACAGGAAATGGCAGGCCCAGGCCAGAAGAACTAGCGCACGACCTCAGGTTTGGCGGCCGGAAGTGGCTGCAGCCCCGCCCCTCCCGGGCGTGCTGGCTCAGGAGTTCGCCTTCTGCGCAGGCGTGACTCGCTGACTCCGCCTCCTCGGTGCCGCGGTCGGAGCCATTTCTCCGCTGCTTCCATGCGGGGTGAGGTTCGTTCCTTCACCGTTTGTGTGGAAGCTTGGAGCTGCGAACTCGCCTGAAGAGGGTTGTGCTTTCGGGCACGGAGCCGTGGAGGAAGGTAAGGGAGCAGCGTGGCGGCCCCCAGGCGGGCTCGGGGCCGACGGCCGATGCTGGCCTGCTCGGCTCCACCGTGGCTTTGTTGTGCGGCGCTGGCGGGCGGGTGGGGGAGGGGCGGCGCGGCGGGTCCCCGGATACGGGCCGTGGGCTCGCCCGCCTTGGCGTACTCGCCGGCGACTCAGGCCCCAGGCCGCGGTCGGCCTCCTTCGGGTTGACCGTTCTCGAAGGCCGCGTCCTCCATTGGCCTGTCACGCGACGGGTGTCGGTGCCCAGAGTCGCCCGTCGTGATGGCGGCTCGACGCCACACGGCGCCTCGGGCCCTCGGGCCCCTCATCCGGGGCACTAGAGCCCCGGAGGGCCCGCCGCTTCGGCACACACGGGTGCCCTGCAGCTCCTCCTCTGCAGGGGTGGCCGAGCACGGGTGGGGCGGAACGAGGAGCTGCTGGTAGGAAAATGTCTGCATGATTAAGTGAGACCGTGCAACGGGATCGCCCTCCTCTAGATAACGGTGGCCGGGAACGGCGCCTCGGAGTCTGAGTCTGGCTTTGGGGTGCAGAATGTGTCATCTCCGATGATGCAGAGGCATTTGTGAAGCCTACAGCCATAGATTGACCGGGACGGGGGGAGGAGGGGATGGCGCGAGAGGCAGGTCTGGCCACGTGACCTGAGGGTGGCGAAGGAGATGGAAGAACTTGTTTTAGGGTAGAAGAATGAAAAAGAATTTCGGAATATCGCAGTTCTCAAAGTAGCGGTGGCAAGCGACAGGAGCTGGAGAGAAACGAGGACCATCGGAGACGTTCTGGAGCCAAAACAGGGTTGCGGAGCAGGCTTGCATCCGGGGTGATTGACATTTTGACATCCAACTAGGCTCTCGTCAGGGGAGAAGTTGTTTGTAGCTTTATGAGTCGGTAAAAGAAACTGTGGCTATTTCTGGGGAACCCATCACCTTCCCCCCTCTCGGAGACAGGGTTTCTCTGTAGTTTTGAAGCCTTCCTTGAACTTTGTAGCCCATTCTGGCCTCGAACTGTAAGTCCGCTTGTCTCTGCCTCCCGGAATTAAAGGTGTGCGACACCACCGCCCGGCAGACCCTTCACACTCATTTCTCACTTTGCTGTAAGTTCCCTCTGCTCAAAGTAATTAAAAGAAAACAGAACAGTACAGTATACAGTTTAAGGATTAGCTAGTTCCTTAATCCTCTAAGGATAATCTCAGCAGCCATTTAAGGATACAAAAGATAGCCATGGAAGATTTTTTTTTTTTGGTTTTTCGAGACAGAGTTTCTCTGGCTTTGGAGCCTGTCCTGGAACTAGCTCTTGTAGACCAGGCTGGTCTCGAACTCAACAGAGATCCGCCTGCCTCTGCCTCCCTAGTGCTGGGATTAAAGGCGTGCGCCAGCACCGCCCGGCTACCATGGAAGATCTTTGGGGATCGGATCAGAATGTCGAAATTGTGACACTGAATTACTTGGTGCCATTAATGTGGATGGGGATTTATTTATGGGTTTGGGATACGGTTTTTTTTGGAAAAATTCTTACTGAGATGCTAAGGTAGTGTTTTGATAGGAATGTTAATATTTTCCTTGGATAAAATTTGGAGTCTTGCATGCCTTCAATCGCACTCAGGAGGCAGAGACAAGCGGATCTCTTGAGTCTTGTATGTGGTTTGAGACAGGGTTTCTTTGTAACTTTGGAGTCTGTCCTGGAACTAACTCTTGTAGACCAGGCTACTCTCAAACTCACAGATAATCCGACTGCCTCTGCCTCCGGAATGCTGGGATTAAAGGTGTGCACCACCACTGCCCACCTCACAGTGCTTTCTTAGGCCTTTTTTATTTTTAAAATTTATTTACTTGTTTTTAGACAGGGTTTAATACCTGCCTGACCTTGAATTAAAGAGCTGCCTGTTTCTGCCACCTAAGTGTTGGGATTAAAGGCATGTGCTACCACCACCCAGTATACCTTTTATTTTTAAAGGGCATTAGTTTTGACATTACTGTCCAAAGGTATTAAGTGTTTTTGAGACAGGTCTCTACTACCTGTAAAATTTCTCTCTCTCTCTCTCTCTCTCTCTCTCTCTCTCTCTCTCTCTCTCTCTTTCTCTTTCTCTCTCTCTCTCTCTCTCTCTCTCTGTGTGTGTGTCTCGGCAAGGTTTTTCTTTATGGCCTTTCCTGTAGACCAGAGTAGCTTTTTAACTATAGGATATCACTGTACATCCATGGCTAGCCTTGACCTTTTTTTTTATTATTTTTTTTTTTTAGTTGTTGAAAAAAATCTCTGCCTCCTCTCCTTTCCTCCCCCTTACCTTAGCCTTGACCTTTATGTAGACCCTGCCAATTAAAGACTTATTTACTAGGCTCTTCTGAAGTGATCACAGGATCAAATTATAAGATTACAGTCTCAACACTTGGTAGATAGAGGTAGGAAGATAAGGCTACACAGGAAATGGTTCTGCAGCTTTTAGAGGATAATGAATTGGTCTCCTGTGAGGTAAGTGGTTGATAAAGCTGCTGTTCAAAGTCTTTGCCAGTTTGTAGGGGGTAATGGGGTCTAAGTATTCCTTCTGTGGTAAGCCTTACTTTGAATGGAAGGCCCTTACCTCTTAAAGCTTTATACCACTGCCTAGTCATACCATGGACCTTGGAGAGTGACTACTGTGTGGGTCTGGCTCTGTTTATTTTTCCTTTTTTTTAAAATATTTATTTATTATGTATACAATATTCTGTTTTGCATGTATGCCTGCAGGCCAGAAGAGGGCACCAGACCTCATTACAGATGGTTGTGAGCCACCATGTGGTTGCTGGGAATTGAACTCAGGACCTTTGGAAGAGCAGGCAATGCTCTTAACCTCTGAGCCATCTCTCCAGCCCTCCTTTTTTTTTTTTTTTTTTTTTTTTTTTTTTGGTTTTTCGAGACAGGGTTTCTCTGTGGTTTTGGAGCCTGTCCTGGAACTAGCTCTTGTAGACCAGGCTGGTCTCGAACTCACAGAGATCCGCCTGCCTCCCGAGTGCTGGGATTAAAGGCGTGCAGCCATCGCCCGGCCACACACCCCACCTTGGAAGTACTCTTCATTGTCTTAAATTTTCTGGAGTATGCCATTTGCTTTACCGGATGCTTGATCAAAGTTCAACTGACAACGAAATCAGATTCATACATTTATATTAAGGTCAAATTTGTTGGGTGTAGGTTTATTGTAGGTGCCTTGCAGCCTACTATAGTAATCAATCTCCCCTTCCCATTCTAAATTTGGTTTTGTTTTTTTTTTCTGTGCATGAGTATTTTGTTGGCATGTATGTAGATGTACCATTTGCTAGAAGAGGGCATTGGATCCCTTGAACTAGAGTTAAGAATGATTGTAAACCACCTTGTGTGGGAAATAAATCTGGGTCCTCTGTCGGAGGAAATAATGCTCTAAAACCACCTAAGTGTCTCTCCTGTTTGCCCGGGAGAGTTTTGTTTTGTATTTGGGCTTTTTTTTGTTTTGTTTTTTTGTTTTTCGTTTTTGGAGACAGAGTTTTTCTGTGGTTTTGGAGCCTGTCCTGGAACTAGCTCTTGTAGACCAGTTCTGGGATTAAAGGCCTGCGCCACCACCGCCCGGCTTGGGCTTTAGGGTGGCCTTTAACTCAGAACTGCCCACCTCTCCCCATTATTAATATGCCTTTAAGAAAAAAATCTTTGATTCATTTTTATGGGAGGTTAAACTTAGCTTAGGCTACATGTCAAATTGAAGGCTTAATTGACTTCATTAATGTATGTGTCCTGTACCTTCGGAATTGTTGGTTATTTTTGTAATTTTGTTTGGTTTTCTTTTTAGTTTGCTGAGTCTGCTGCATGCAACCTCAAGCAGGCCTTCATTCTTAGCCATCTTCACGTGAAGCTTACTAAGTGTTAAAATAATACGTGACCCACCACACCTTTAGTGTGCCTGCATGCGGTGCTGTTTCTTAGTCTGGTGAATTTGGGTTTCAGTTTAGGCTTTTACCATGAGTCACATGGAACTTTTACTTAGATTTTCTTTTTTAAAACAAAAAAGCTTTATTTTTAGCTGGGCAGTGGTGATGCACACCTTTAATTCCACCCAGCACTCAGGCAGGCAGATCTCTGGTGAGTCAAGGCCAGCCTGGTCTACAAGACAGCTAGGGCTGTTACACAGAGAAACCTGTCTCAAAAAAAAAAGTTGTTTTTACTTTGTGTATGAGTATTATGCGTGTTTGGATACCAGTTGGATATCAGGTACAGGCAGATGTCAGATCCCTTGAAACTGAAAGCCAAAGAAGATTGCCAGTCACCACATGGCATATAAGATACCTATTGTAGAGTGTAGGAGGCTGGATAAAATGCTTGCCAGGTCTGGATGGTGGTGGTGCGCACCTTTAATCCCAGCACTTGGAAGGCAGAGGCAGGAGGGTCTCTCTGACCGCAAGGCCAACTTGATCTACAAAATGAGTTCTAGGACAGCCAATGCTACAGAGAGAAACTTGTCTCTAAAAACAAAAAGTTTGAGGTTAAAAATTGGCCTACAGCAATAATTATTGGGTGTGTGTGTGTGTAACTCGCAGCTTGTGTTTTTTTTTTTAACCACATGCTATAGGCTTCCCAACATAAATAAATTTTCTTACCAGGTAAGTTCTAGTAGTATTGTGAATGAATATCTTATTCTTGAACTAGATTATAGTGGTTTTTGGGGTTTTGCTATCATAACATTTTAACTTGTTTTTTTTTAGGTGTGAAGAAGACACCTGAATCATGGGTGACATTAAAAATTTTCTGTATGCCTGGTGTGGCAAAAGGAAGATGACCCCTGCCTATGAAATTAGAGCAGTAGGAAACAAAAACAGACAGAAATTCATGTGTGAGGTACTAAAGAATACAATATATTTGTATGCTTTCATTTGTTAAAGGAATATTTGTTTGGAAAGGCTAAGCTGTTGCAGGTTAGGAAAAATTATTTTGACTTGACTGTTTACTAGAAAAATTCTGATGCTCCCAAAACAACTTCGATGCTTGTAAGTTCAGAAGATAAGTGCTTGTAGTCTTAATAACTTTATTTTTGTTTGAGAGGTACGGAACAGTTTACTTCTCGATCTCTGGCTGGCCTCTTAACTCTGTAGACAGGCTGGCTTCAGGCTCAACTGCCTCACAAGTGCTGTGATTAAAGGTGAACACGATACCTGGCTTCTCTAACTCTTTTAGAGAAGGAAAGTATTTAAAAGAAGAGAGCTTTTCTTTTAATTATTATAAAATCACTGTTACATGATTGTGTGTGCATACAGGCATATAAAAGTAAAACTTGTGAGGGTCTGTTTTTCTTTCTGTACAAGTCTTAAGGATCTAATTCAGGTCCTCACATTGGAGGCAAATGCCCTTGCTGAGTTATCTTGCTGTGTGGGGGGCACATTTTGATTGTGATGGGAATGGCACTAAGGCCTGACTAGGCAAAGCACTGTCCCATTGAGGTTATCAGCACTCAGGAGACAGAGACTAGGCAGGAGAAACTAAGAATTCGAGGCCTGCCCCTCTGGTCTACAGAGTGAATTCCAGGACAGCCAGGTCTACAGAGAAAAACCCTGTCTTGGAAAACGGAAAAGAAACCCAACCTTAAAATAGTTTATTGTGGGAATCTGAGCCACTTATATTGATACTATTGGATCAGCATATCAGTGAACAATACAATTCCATGTTTTTAGTAAAATTCAGTGTTGCATGGGTGTGCTAAAAGTATGCTTAAATGCATGTTTAAAGTAGCTAGCTGTTCATGTTTTATCTTGATGGGCCATTTAATGGATAACTATTTTTTTAAATTCTAGAATTACCAAGGTTTAATTCAACTTTTTTCCCCTTGAATCTTAAAGGTTCGAGTAGAAGGGTTTAATTATGCTGGTATGGGTAATTCCACCAATAAAAAAGATGCACAGAGCAATGCTGCCAGAGACTTTGTCAACTATTTGGTTCGAATAAATGAAGTAAAGAGTGAAGAAGTTCCAGCCGTTGGGGTAAGTATTTATTATGGCCAAGAACTTGAGCTGTCTTTATGTCTGCTTTCACATTTCTCTGGGTTCAAATTAACACAAGACAGATTTACAGGTGAGTGGACATTGTAGGGCTATCATATGAGTATAGTGATTATGCAAAAATGCAGTAAGTTTTAGAAACTTTAACACATGTTGAGATTTGTTCTATCTGAAATGGTGTAGAACTGATACATACTCATTAGAAACCATACCTTGAATTGTGAATTTTTGGCATTTATCCATGCAGGCAGTAAACAGTTGTTGGACACATGGCCAGTCAGATATGCCCCCAGAAGAGTATAAACAGCCAGTACTTTACAGCTTATGTGTTACTAAGGTACAATGCTTAGTAGGATGGGTATAAGAAGTTAGTGTTTGTTTCAAAAACTTGGTATTTTCAGAATAGGTGTTTTATTGGGCAATAGCACCATCGAGGCTTTGAGTGCTCTCATAGGTGGTGTATCTAGGTGCCAGTCTCTCATACCCCTCCCCTTTAGTTTTTTTCAAGACAGGGTCTATATAGCTCTTTGCCTGGGTCTCCAGACTTGGGACATGAGGTCCAGCAGGCTGTATTGTGCCCCCCCCCCCTTTTTTTTGCGCTTTGTTTTGCTTTTCAGGGCAGGGTTTTTTTTTTTTTTTTGTATGGCCCAGTCCATCCTAGAGCCAGACTGGCCTCAAACTCAGAGGTTCACCTCTACCCTGAGTGTTGGGATTAACCACCATTGTCAGAGTTATTGTGCTTTTTAGTTTTTAAATATTTTAAGGGTAGGGCTGGAGAGGTGGCTCAGTGGTTAAGAACATTGCCTGCTCTTCCAAAGGTCCTGAGTTCAATTCCCAGCAACCACATAGTGGCTCACAACCATCTGAAATGAGGTCTGATGCCCTCTTCTGGCCTGCAGACAGACTATTGTATACATAATAAATAAATAAATATTTTTAAAAAATATTTTAAGGGTATTTATGTTTGGCTTAAGTGTGCATGCCTAGTGCCCACATGTCAGAAGACATCAGATCTGGAACAAGAGTTATATATGCAGATACTAGGAACAAAGTCCTGGTCCTCTGCATGAGCAGCAGGTTCTCTTAACCATTGAACTACCTCTCTGGCCCCTATATTGTTCTCTAATGAACTGTGGTATCTTTGTATAGAATAAGTTTCAGAAGTTTGTCGTGTACCTAGTTTACGAGTTATCTCCCTTAATATGTTTGCAAATTTTGCTCATGAAGCTAAATTTTCAGACTTAACGTTAAAAGCATTTTGAAAACTTCTCAGACAGGGTCTTAAATATCCTAGATATGTAACCAAGGTTGACTTGGTTGACGTTAGTAGTTCTGCCTCTACTTTTTGTATGTGGTGGGTGGTTTTGAGACATAATAGCACTGGCTGTCTTGGAACTAACTAGCTCTTGTAGACCAAACTGGCCTCGAACTCACAGAGATCCACTTGCTTCTCTGTCTATCGAGCACTGGGAATAAAGGCATGCACCATCACCGCCTGGCTCTGCCTCTACTTTTTTTTTTTTAATTTTATGATTTATTTAACTTTATTTTATGTGAATCGGTGTGAAGGTGTCAGATCCCTTGGGACTGGATTTTCAGGCAGTTGTAAGCTGCCATGTGGTTGTTGGGAATTGAAGCTCAGTCCTCTAGAAGAATAATTAGAGTTCTTAACCACTGAGCCATCTCTCCAGCCCTCTGCCCCTACTTTTAATCCCCCTGCTTCCACCCCTCCAAATGCTGAGATTACAGGCATACGCCATAGTACCTGGTTCGCAGACAATAGTGCTTTAAGTAAAGAAATGCAGCCAGGCATTCTAGACTAGCAAGTGTCTTTACTTAAATTTGTTTCATTGACCCCCCCCCCAATACTATTGTGTAGTTGGGTTTGGTTGTGTTTTTTTTTTTTTAATATTTGAGGAAAGGTCTTAGTACGTAGTCCTTTCTAGCCTGTTTTACTATATTACTATATAGACCAGACTGGCCTTGAACTCAAAGATCTGCCTCCCACTATCTCCAAAGTGCTGGAAATTAAACAGCTTCTAATAGTATTAAGAAAACTATTTCTCAGTTAAAAAATGAAAACAAGCTGGACTCGATGGTTCAAGTCTATGGTATTGGCACTTCTAAGACAAGAAGCAAGATGTAGACTACATGACAAGTTTCAGGCTGTCTAGGGTATTGTCTAGGCTATCTTAAAAAATGGTAACAGCAAGAGGCAGGCAGATCTCTGTGAGTTCAAGGCCAGCCTGGGCTACAGGAGCTAGTTCCAGGACAGGCTCCAAAGCCACAGAGAAACCCTGTCTCGAAAAACCAAAAAAAAAAAAAAAAAATGGTAACAGCAAATTCATACCAGTAATCAAAAGGTTTCTGCACCCCAATAAGCCTCTTTGCCGACACAATAATTGAATCAGACCAAATCAATCTGAATTAGAAAAGGTCCAGGTTTAATGGATACTAGTGCTCCCATATGGCTTTCCAGCACCCCAGAGAGGAGACTGGGAAGTAAGACCAAAAAACCCCACATCTTTGTTCTGGGGTGCTGTGGGAGTGGTCTTAGTCTCTGGGGAGGGGTCATCATTTGGTGGGGTCTAGAATCAGACAACTCCTAGGAGAGGGGGCTTGGAAAGGAACTTCTTACCCAAACATTTCAGACTCTTTGTTTTTCGAGGCAGGGTTTCTCTGTGTAGAGTCTGTTCTGGAACTCTGCAGAACAGGCTGGTCTCGAATTCACAGGGATTTAATCCCTGCCTGCCTCTGCCTCCCAGTGCTGGGATTAAAGGCATGTGCCACCACCTCCCCAGACACTTTGAATAAATGGATGCCAGTGGCTTGGGTGATGCTTCCACCCAAACAGGAATCTTACTGATGTTCAAACTCCCAGTTGCCTTAGTGTAAGACTGTCATGAAAAAAGGTATACTATGTAATTAACTGTATAAACATAGAAACTGTATAAACATGAATCATTTAACTTTATTAAAGTTCTAGCACTTAGTAGGTTCAGGTAGAGAAATTGCCTGGAGTGGGTAATTCTGACAACATAGGTCTTGCCTTAAAAATGGCATTTATCGTAACTATGACCAGCTCTATTTGCCTCCGACAAACAGACCTTAAAATCTCTCATCGCCTACTCTTCAGTCAGCCACATAGCCCTAGTCATCGCCGCCATCGTAACGTTAAATACTTCTGTTACTATATAAGAAAGGCAAGGTTTCACTATGTATCTTACAGCTCATCCTGGAACTCACATGGATCCACCTGCCTCCTGAGTGCTGGGACTAAAATTGTGTGCCACCATGTTGCACACATTTATTTTAGAGATTATTTCACTAGCCTTTGCTGTCCTTAATTTTAAGTTGTGATGGCTTCAAATTTACAGCTAACCTCTGAATCCTGCCTTCCTGTTGCTGGGGTTGAAGGAATGCTTTACCATATTTGGCACCAGAAATTTATCTAATACTTTTTAATAAGATAGGATCTCATAATATATTCTGCAAAAATTTGCCTCTTCCTCCCCACTGCTGGAATTAAGCACATATACCACTATTCCCAGCTGCCTTCTTTTCTCACTCTTTTTTAAAGCAGGGTTTCTCTGTAACAGTCTTAACTGTTCTGGAACTAGCTCTAGACCAGACTGACCTTGATTGAACTAGTTATAGAGATCCCCTGCCTCTGCCTCCCAAGTGCTGGATTAAAGACATATGCCACCATTGTCCAGATTAGCTTTGAATTTTTTTTTAATTTATTTATTTATTAGGGATACAGTGTTCTATCTGCATGGATGCCACCAGACCAGAAGAGGGCACCAGATCTCATTACAGATGGTTGTGAGCCACCATGTGGTTGCTGGGAATTGAACTCAGGACCTCTGGAAGAGCAGGCAATGCTCTTAACCGCTGAGCCATCTCTCCAGCCCCAGCTTTGAATTCTTGAGGGTAGTGTTATTTCCTGTTAAGGATGTATAATATTTGGACATCCTTAAGTGGTCAGATGTTGAGGAAACAAACAGCAATGGAGAAAGACAGGTTATAGCAAGACTTAATAATTTCAGCAAGTGGGGATGGGTTATGTAGGAGCTTGGTATACGCTTAAATTACATGAAGCTGTCTCTAAGAAATAGGGAAAATACTGTTGGAAAGGATCTTTAATATGGCATCTTTTGAGTCTTGAAAGAGACTTCTAGTTCCTGACACACACACACAAAGCCAAAACAAAGCACTGACACGGTTTTGACATTTCCTTGTACAGATTGTACCACCCCCACCCATACTTACGGACACATCTGATAGCACAGCAAGTACTGGAGAAGGTGCACCACCACCCATGGGAGGACCACTTCCTCCACATCTGGCTCTCAAAGCAGGTAAGAAAGAGACTTGAATATCTGCACTTGGCTGAAAATAACACTATTATGGTTGTTCATGTCTATTTGGAGAGTTTTATTCTTAGTTTAAAAAACAAATCTACATTAAAAATACATTATGGGTGGTAGTCTCATGGCTTTAATTTCAGCAGAGGCAGGCTAATCTGTTTCGAGGTCAGCCTGGTCTACAGAGTGAGTTCCCGGACAGGTCCCTAAGCTATATCAAAGCCTGTCTAAAGACAACAACAAAAGCCAAGAATATATATTAGTACCTAGGACAAAGAGACTACCATGCCCGAGGATGTGTTCTAAATCAACTAGCATCCAATATGGGCAGAAACAGATTAGGCAAGTAGGCCAGGCCAGCTTTTAATGTACTTGCTGTGAAAAAAACCACCCAGATGAAAGCAGCTCAAGGGAGGATGGGTTTATTATGGTTCACAGTCCATCATGACTGATTTCAAGGTGGGAGGAGATTAAAGCAGAAAGCAGCTGGTAACCTTGCAAAAAAACAGAGCAGTGAATTTTCACTATTACTTAGTTTCTTTTTTTTTTAAAAAAAATTTATTTATTTATTATGTATGCAATATTCTGTCTGTGGTGCATGCAGGCCAGAAGAGGGCACCAGACCTCATTACACATGGTTGTGAGCCACCATGTGGTTGCTGGGAATTGAACTCAGAACCTTTGGAAGAGCAGGCAATGCTCTTAACCTCTGAGCCATCTCTCCAACCCTATTACTTAGTTTCTAGTTCAAGGAAAGGAGTCTTCCCATTGGGTTGGCAGTTTTATGCACTCTGGTTAACTTAGCCAAGACAATCTCTAACAATTACTGCTAAAGGATTTAGTCAACAGTTACATTAATTAATCATCAGATAGCTTATTTACTGTTTCTTGGAGATTATACTATCATTTCCATAGGCATAGACCATCAAAGAAATGAACTGGATTGGGTTGTCAGTTACTTAAAATTTTTAAGATAGCCCTGATTCAGGTGCCCTTCCACATAACTGAAAATGTGTGCCCAAACACAAAAATTTTTTAGGAGTATTCTTTAAAATAATTAAATTTTCTTTTTAGTTAAAAGAGTGATTTTATTTATTTATTTATTTTTTTAGCAGAGAATAATTCTGGAGTAGAGTCTTCATCTGGCTATGGTTCTCCTGGACCCACCTGGGACAGAGGAGCCAATTTAAAAGACTACTACTCAAGAAAGGAGGAACAAGAAGTGCAAGCGGTAAGGCTCTTACGATGTCACGTCCTTGAAAATAGGATTTGGGGTAGAATTCCCAGCAGGGTTGAGTATCTCCACAAATTCATAATATAATTAATTAGTTGTTGGGGTTTTTTTTTTTTTTTTTTTTTTTTGAGACAGTATCTTGATCCAGTGGCCATAGCTTAAAAGCCGTTTTTAATGGTTGCTAGTACTAACCTGCTTGTAGTCCAGCAGTAGAAAGGGAATGACATTCAAGGGCAGCCTGAGTGACAGTTCCAAGAACATAGGAATTTTAGAATTCCTATATCTTTTCTCAAAAATATGGGTTTTAGTTAGTTCAGTGATATAAGTACTTGTCTAGTCGTGTACAAGACCCTGGATCTCAGCACTATAAAAACAAAACCTGGTTTTTGTATTGGAAAAGAGATGTTACTTGTTATTGTACCTTAAGTACTGATAAGTAGTGCAGCCAAATTTAATCATCATTGATTCCACAGACTCTAGAGTCAGAAGAAGTGGACTTAAATGCTGGGCTTCATGGAAACTGGACATTGGAAAATGCTAAGGCTCGCTTGAACCAGTATTTCCAAAAAGAAAAGATCCAAGGAGAATATAAGTACACCCAAGTGGGTCCCGATCACAACAGGTTTGCTTGTTTCACTATTTTCCTTGTAAAGAAGTTAAGGTTGTTCGGCTGTTTATGTTTTAACCAAATGTTACCCAGTTTATTGTATGTATCAGCAGTGAATTGTAAAAAGATAAATATGTATAAGAATTACTGACTTGTAGTTGCCATAGTTTTCACTTAAAAATGTAATGCTGTTGTATAAGAAGTCCTACAAGTCTGTTGGTAGACTTTTAAGATTATCATTTGGCTGAGGCTGGCGATTTGTTAGTTGACCTAATCTGTCAGAGGTGATTTTGTTCGGTGTAGTTTCATTGGAGATAAATAGTTTTAATACTTGAAATGGTTCTGGTATGTTTTGTTGTCTTAGTAGATTGTATTTTGTCTGTATCCAAATTTGACTTGAGTTTGATGTTGGCAGCTCTTTAAAGAATCCTGTTTCTTGAATACCATGAAGTCGAAGGATCGCGAAGGTTTTATATGTGACTTAAATTAGAATGCTTTTTTTTTCCTGTTAAGTTTATAAAACTGAATGTAAGGGAAGATATGTGACCGTATGTTTCTCAGCCTGCTTGATGTTCTTCCTAAGAGCATTCCAGGGTGTAGTACTTATTACTCCCAGGAAGGCTCATACAGATTAGATTTTTCAGGGAGGCACTATATTTTTATTGGAAGAGAAAGGAAGCAGTTTTGGAAAACGTCTTGATTGGATTTGCTGTCTTTCATTATAAAAAAATTAAATTATCCAAAATAAATTTAAAACATTTTTCTTAAATCAAAGTGTTCTCCCTTGGGTGCAAATAGCAACCCTAAAATTATCATTATATACAAAAAAAAAACAACAAAAATTGACCGCATACTCAAAATGATCAGAGCATGGCTCCTCCTGCTTCCTACTGCTTTGTTCAGTCCTGAATTCTCAAATACTATATGCTTGGTGTCATTATTTTCATTTTGTTATCAGATAAAAAACAAAACAGACTATAACAATTTTTTAATGCTCTATGTGTAACTTATTGGACTTGCCAGCTCCTGGTAGTTTTTCTTTGTAATAATAATTGGAAATGCTGGTGATAGAGCTCAGGTGGAGCATCTCCATAGTTTGCTTGAGGCCTAGAGTTCAAATTCCCAGCATTAATAATAATGTTTTAACATTATTATTACTATTATTATATACATAATTGTGCCTAAAACTTAACTGAATTGCTGCCAAAATGCTTGATTTCAGTATCTTACTGATTTCAGATGTAAAAGCAAAGAATTCAGGACAAGACAATGTAAGAGGCAGACAGTTGGAGCTGGGACACATTGCTCCTTGTATGTCCTTTATTGAAAGGCATAACAGACAGCAACACCAGAGGTTTGTGTTCATATACACATGTGCTGATGCTTAGGCTGAACTAAGCAATCACATGGGAAACTATTGTAAACTGATTTCTGGTGTTGCTGTTCCCCCCTAGGTGGAGGAGAATGAGATTGAGTGCTGACTTTAAGCCTGGCTGAGAAACATACTGTCATCGGTGTCATTAATGAAAGGGTGGATGTTGTTCCCCTGAAAGCCAGTGGCCTTTGACCCCTTGAAGCCCTTGTACCTGAAGGTCAGTTGACAAAGAAGTTTAGGAAGGAGACTAACATTTTTTTTCCCTAAGCTTCACCTAACCTTTTGTTCACAGCACAAAGTCAAGTTTGAATGTACGAGCAGTGAAGGACCAGCATACTTTTGCTAAAAATTTAAATTTATTCCTTAGAACCTGCTAGCAGTTTTAGCTGTAATGTAAAAAATGGCTTTTGTTCTCTAGGCCCTGGTTTAAATACCTAAAAGTAGGCTAAAATATTTTTTTTGTCACCAAGGACTTCTTGCAGCTATATGTAATCAGGACTCTGCCACAGGAGCTACTGGTATATAGTGCTTGCATGTATGAACTTGCCCTAACAGGTTGTAACTAGTATATATATAATTTGAAGAGTTTGGTGTTTTTTTTACTTAGCTACAAGCTAAACAAATTTTTTTTATTGAAAGCATTTTCATATTTAGATTCTAACCTTGGAATAAAAATAAGTAAGTCTATAATCTAAAAATGTAACGTTTTCTTTTCATGAAAGAAAGCTCTCCAGCTGTTAATAACTAATGTCATACATATTTGCTGCAGTTTATATACTTTTTGTTCTAGGATTGGACAGAAATGAATGTTCAGAATGTTTTTTGCTATAATTTTTATTGAAGCAGTTGGAAAACCTCCCTGACTAGGTAGATATGGAGTTAGTAACTTAGAGTGATAAATTCCTAACCTTGTTTGTATATGTTGTTACAGGAGCTTTATTGCAGAAATGACCATTTATATCAAGCAGCTGGGCAGAAGTAAGTGTAATTCCTTTTAAACTACTCCTAAAGTTTTTTCAGTGAAGATATTTTCACATTATAAAGTCTTGAGCTACTTTAAAAGAACATATAACACTACAGAGAAGTTAGTTTTAGCCTATTGCGTTGAAAAATCGAACTATTCATTAATGGGAAAGAATAGAGTAACACGGGATTTTGAGAGTTATTGATAGTGTATACTAAAGTGGGAGCTAGGTATTTAAATTTCATGCATAGTAATTTGAGTTGTGGTTGTAGAGTGGAAGAAGTTAGACCAGGGAAAGTTGAGGTTAAGAGAGGTACACTGTGGATACCATTATGCATCATATAAACAGATGATGAAATTAACAGTCTAGATATGAAGCGCCTGTCTTAGACCTAGGCACAAAAGCAAGCCTGCTTGTATTTGTCTGTTTCCTTAAGTGATGTAGATTTCCTTTTATAGGAGTTTTATTTATAAAATTGGTAGCCATTTAGACTTAACAGTTACCAAAATAGTTGGTCACCTTATAATAATGCCAGAGAAACCTATCTGAAACAGCAAGTTTTAGGTACCATGATACCTATAATATTAACATTTTAGGATATTACTGGAGTTCAACACAGGTGAACTCCCAAACCATGTATGCAAAAGATGCTTGTATAATATTTTAGTGGTCAGATCATGAAGGATGTTTACAGTTCAAGTTTTAAGTAGCGAAATGGCATTTAATGGGTTGGATTGGGTAATAAAATTAAAAGCAATAAGCTATTGCATTTGAGAACCATGTAGCTAGGAAATGCATTGTGTATATTAATGTAGGAGGGCAGCCTATAAGTTCCAGTCCTGTATAAGAGAGAGAGAAAAACCTTGTTTTAAAACAACAAAATACCAAAGGTTAAATACAGCCAATAGGTAAATTTGTGGATTTAGGAGATAAGCAAATTTGGTGGTAGATTGCTTACTTATAGGATTATTGATTCAGTATCCCGTACATTGAAACAACTGTGAACCAAAGTCCCTGGAACTCTAGCTATCAGCATTCTGTTAAATAATGGTCTTTTTCTTTGGGTCTCAATGGTAATAAGATTATATTCAGAAGGCTCCAAATTAAGCCTTTTGTTCAAAACAAACCCAAAAGCAAGATTTAAAGAAGCATGGGGGCTGGGCTTTTAACTTACATGGTGATTGTTTGCATATATTTCTGGCTCAAGTACCACACAAGCTAGGTAAGGTGGCATGACGCACTGCAAGATGAGGCAGGAGAATCAGAAATGTGTTCTGGTTATTGGGGCCACTTTGAGACCTGCCCATCCTACATAGTGAGCTACATGAGACCCTTGTCTTTAACAAAAACAGTTAAAAGTTACATTTTACTACATAGAATGTTGGAAATTATGCCATGACTACATGAGACACTCAAAAACAACCAGAGAGAAACCATGAGAAAGCCACTACCCTTAGGAAAACAAAGAATAAACTCATCCATAGTAGATGATAGAAAGGCTGAGATGGTACTTATATTAATTCTTCGGCAATAAGGCTTAGGGGGCTCTAGGTTAAGAGCACTGGCTGCTCTTCCAGAGGTCCTGAGTTCAATTACCAGCAACTACATGGTGGCTCACAACCATCAGCAATGAGATATGGTGCCTTCTCTGACATGCAGGCACAACACTGTATACATAATAAATAAATCTTTTTTAAAAAAAGATTAAGACTTAAAGTGTGAGGATAGAAAGATACCCGTACATTTTTTTACTGCCATAGTGTTAACTGTAAATAATTATACATAGTAGTGGTTCAGATTATTTGATCAGAAGATTTAAAGGAATGTCTTGAATTATTTGTATTTCTGAATTCTTAATGTAAAGGTTACATTTAGCATATGGAAAATTTCATAGCTGATAGTGGTTGCTTTTTGGTTGGGGGGGGTAAATAATGTAACTTTGGCTTCCATGGAGGAAAGAATTTGAGTTGTCTGCATTGAATTTCATACTAAAGCAGACATCACAGGTGTGATAGACTGTATGACCTGTGAGGCCTAATTATTTTAAAATTTGGTCTAGTTTGCGTACTAAAGCTTTGGAGTTCAGAAGCTGTGACCAGGATGTTGGAATGATGGCTCAGTCAGTGGTTAAGAGCACTGACCCCTCTTCTAGAGGTCCTGAGTTCAATTCCCAGCAACCACATGGTGGCTCACAATCACCTATAATGAGATCTGGTGTCCTCTTCTGGCCTACAGGCAGGTTACTATATAAATAAATCTTAAAAAAAAAAAAAAGAGTCTGTGACTCAGGAAGTTTTTAAATTAACGTTTTTTAAATTAACCTTTCTTGATGTAATTGACCATTGTATACGTAATTTCATTTTATACTTACATTTTGAGTTGATCATTTTTTACTCTTGATTTAATGATGTGGTAATGACAATAGTTGAGTGTAGTCTTAAATGATTAGTTATATAGAATTGGATTTGGTTAATGAATAGAATGAAAAGAACTGTGATGTACTTTTTTTAATCAGTGGTTGTTTAGTATATGAATGTTTAATTGTTACTGATGGTTCCTTGTTCAGCTCATTTCTGTCTTGGTAATCCTTGTAGGGATTTTCGCACGTGAACATGGATCAAATAAGAAATTAGCAGCACAATCATGTGCCCTCTCTCTTGTCCGACAACTCTATCATCTTGGAGTGATTGAGGCGTACTCTGGGCTTACAAAGAAGAAAGAAGGAGAGAGAGTAAGTATTTAGGCATTAATACTCGTAACTCAGTATTTGACTAAAGGAGTTGAATTTATAGTTCAAGGGAGGAATGAGTTGGGGGACATGAGCATAGTAATGAATGGAAATGAAGGCTTCTAAATGCTAGGCAGATGTTTTACTTCTGACCTATATCAGATCAAAGCTTAGAATATCAAGAAATTAAAAGGCTGTATTTAATTAGCACTCTTTTAAGATCCACTGAGTAAATTATAAAGATTCTCACTAAGAGGAATTTTTGTTTATGTCTATAATAGCTCTATTATATACTGTCAGCTCTATCTCTACTTTGCTAAAATTAATAGTTCTGAATTATTTATGGATGTGTTGATGATATTCTTTTTGTAGGTTGAGCCTTACAAAGTTTTCCTCTCTCCTGATTTGGAGCATCAACTGCAAAATGTGGTTCAAGAGCTAGATCTTGAAATTGTGCCTCCAGTAAGCATATATACAGCTTTTTGTAGTTAACTTTATTTTAAACTCTTCTCATAGACAAGTGTCTATATTTATTTATTTTGCTTTTTCCTAGCCCATTGATCCTTCTATGCCAGTTATACTCAACATTGGGAAATTGGCTCATTTTGAACCATCTCAGAGACAAAACGCAGTTGGAGTCGTACCTTGGTCACCACCACAGTCCAACTGGAATCCTTGGACTAGTAGCAACATTGATGAAGGGCCCCTGGCTTATGTAAGTACTACATGCCCTCTGAGATCAATTTTGGGGTTTAAAACGTCTTCTTCTGTATATTTTATTTATAAATTCCATACATTTATTTCCTTATATTTTACGGTAAAATATACGGAAATAAAATAGATTTTCTTTGAATGTTTTCTTTTTATAGGCTTCTACTGAACAAATAAGCATGGATCTTAAGAATGAATTAACATACCAGCTGGAACAGGATCATAATTTACAAAGTGTAAGTGGTGAAGATTTTAACTACATTGCCTAGTGTTTCAGAAAGAACATTGTTAGGTAGAATGGCACATTTCACCAAATTATTAATCATAACCAACTGATAAAGTAGTGGCTTTTAATTCAGTCAGGACCTAGAAATCTGAGTTGTGCTTCTTTGTTGGTTTTCAAAAGTGCTAACATTTTGTGGCAAACAATTACAAAATTAGAAAGTTTCTGGAGAATGATATAGGGGGATGAAGACCAAGGAAGATTATTTAGAAATCTAGTGAGAATCAATTCTATTAGAGATAAATAGGTATCATAGAATATATCAAGAACTAAGCCAGGGGCTGGAGAGATGGCTCAGAGGTTAAGAGCATTGCCTGTTCTTCCAAAGGTCCTGAGTTCAATTCCCAGCAACCACATGGTGGCTCACAACCATCTGTAATGACGTCTGGTGCCCTCTTCTGGCCTGCAGATATACACACAGACAGAATATTTTATACATAATAAGTAAATAAAAAAAAAAGAACTAAGCCAGTTAAAAATATAGTACCTTTTTAATATGGAAATGGTTCTAATGAAGTTTTACTAAGTTTTGACTTTTCTCTGCAGGTATTACAAGAGAGAGAGATGCTTCCTGTGAAGAAATTTGAACCTGAAATCCTGGAAGCCATTAGTCAAAATTCAGTTGTGATCATTCGCGGGGCCACTGGATGTGGTAAAACCACACAGGTTCCACAGTACATTTTGGATGACTTTATCCAGAATGACAGAGCAGCAGAGTGTAATATTGTTGTGACTCAGGTAAATAACAAGCCAATGTGAGAGCTCTGTTAATAGTTTGGGAGTTGGAGGATTTTTTGTTGTTGTTGTCAAATAAGATTTCGAGAATGTTAAGACATTGTCACCTGCTTTCAGAGAGCCTTTCGGGTTTCCTGCTTGTCAGATCTATGGGAGACCTTAAACCTTCTCTAAGGGAGCAGATGGTGGTTGGGAAGGGAGGGAGGAGGAATTGGGATTAATATGAAAATATTCCCAGTTTTATGGGGAAAAAATGTTAAAATCGTAATACAAACACACACTTTCCTGCTTTTCCTGTCCTTGGTAACCTAGAATCTTGACAGGTTAGGCACGTACCCTAACCACTTAACTATAACTTCTATACTCTAGGTCATCACTGAACTTGAAGCCTGGGGGTGCAGGCTTACGTTAGGTATACAAACACTCAACCAGGAACTTAGGCTAGCCGGCGATGGTGGTTCACACCTTTAAGCCCAGCACTCTGGAGGCAGAGGCAGGTCAACAACATGGTGCCTCACAACAGTTATAATGAGATCTGGTGACCTCTTCTGGCTGGCAGGCACACAGAGCACCATATATATAAAATAAATCTTTTTAAAAAAGGATCTTAGGTGATGCTTATGGCACAAAGGGATCTTTTTGTTGTTTTTGTTTTTCGAGACAGGGTTTCTCTGTGGGTTTTTTTTTTTTTTTTTTTAAAGCCTGTCCTGGAACTAGCTCTTTTAGACTAGGCTGGTCTGGAACTCACAGAGATCCGCCTGCCTTTGCCTCCCAAGTGGGATTAAAGGCATGTGCCACCACCGCCCGGCTGGGATTTCATTTTTTTTTGTGTTTTTGTAAGTAAGATAAGCTTGTCAAAGTGCTCATGCTTTGGGGACAGCTATTTCATAATCTGTCATGTTAAGCTGTTGGCGACAACTGACCATCAGGATAGATACAGCATTGCAGAGTTACTATCATAGACCAGGGTGGCTTCAAACTTTGATCTGTGTCTTCTACATGCTTGAAGGTCAGTAAAGTTAAAAATTAATACAAACTGGGCAGTGGTGGCACACACCTTTAACCCTAGCCTAGCCTGATCTACAGAGTGAGTTCCAGTGACAGGCTCCAAAGATACACAGAGAATCTTTGTCTCTGCAAATTAAAAATAAAATAAAAAAATGGAGGTACCAGGATGGTGATGATAAAACACTTGGGAGAAAAATAGTAGGGTTAACCTGAAACTTAGCATTAAGCTTTACTTTTTAAATATTTTTTGCAGTGTGTTTATGTTGCACATGTCAGTATTCGTAAAAACTAGAACAGAGAGTCATTACCAAGAGGTGGGACTTAGTTTGTGAGCCATCTAACTAACATGGGTGCTAGAAACCAAATCTGAGTCCTTAAACAGTTCAGTGAGCCATCTTACTTAGTTCCAACTATGCTGAGTGTAGTAAGAACCAGTTTCCTATTGGTTTATGCCTTTTCTCTTAGTCACTTGTAATACCATAATTCACTTGGGAAGTAGAGATAAGTACTCAGATTAAAAATAGAGCCTTATTGTACCATAATGGAAATAGCGTATTCTACATTTATTAAAGTTTCATATTTGGTAAAGATCATTTGTGTCAACTGGTAAGATCATCTGTGTCCTACCTTTCTCTGTTTCTAAGATAGCAATGAGAGCTTTTATAGTAATTTAAAATTTTAGCTGGGTGTGGTGTAAAGTTTGAAGTGAGACTAGAACACTTTAGCCTAGCATGTAACATGTTCAGTCACCCATATAGCACACAGATACTTTTAAATAACTAATTTTATAATTCCATATCACTTTTGTTTTGTTTTTCAGCCCAGAAGGATCAGTGCAGTTGCAGTGGCTGAACGAGTTGCTTATGAGAGAGGTGAAGAGCCTGGAAAAAGCTGTGGTTACAGTGTTCGGTTTGAGTCTATACTCCCACGCCCCCATGCCAGTATAATGTTTTGTACTGTAGGTAAGTAATGCATTGTGGTACCTCATTTGTGACTTATTGTCATCTTTTTATTAAAATACAGAAAGTTTGTTGTGCAAATGTTACAGAAGAGAGGCAGAAGCGGGCAAATAACTGTTAAAGGCCAGTCTGTTATCACAGAAAGTTGGGACAATGCCAAAAATACGTGAATGTGTCAGGATATTAATTATTGAAGACTGTTTTGACGATACAAGGATTGTGTTGTAGCAAGGTTGATTATCTAGTCATTTGCTAGTCATTTGATAGGTTTCTCTGTATAGTTTTATTATCTGCATGATTTACTGAAATTTTAATGGTCTGTGCAATTAACCAACCTCAGCTAAAGTTTTTTGTGTTTTATTGACTCTAGGAAAGAAGCCTATCTCATAATTTTTTTTTTTTAAAGGCGTACTCCTAAGAAAATTAGAAGCAGGCATTCGAGGGATCAGTCATGTAATTGTAGATGAAATTCACGAAAGAGATATTAATGTAAGTAACCTATGAGTCAGGTTTGATTAGAAATCTTATCTTTGCTTTTTTTACTGCTAAATACTGTTTATTCAGAGAACCCAAATAAGTTAATAATCACATCGTAATGGTGTTTACTATGATCAATAAGAGTTTTATGTAACTTAGCATTTTAGTAGTGATTTATGGCCAGTAGCTGGTGGAATTGTATGATTTAGTTTTCCTTTGTATGTGATAAATATTGTGCTTTTTAGCAAAATGTTGGTAGGCGTTTGTAGCTTAACATTTTAGATGTTAATTGTCACGGAAAATGAGAAGAAAATACAAATTTCTCACTCTTGCCTCATGGTTCTTGATAAACCAGTGCAAAGTTTTATTATATATAGTTGTAAGATTGGAAAGTGGATACTACAAACAACATTTTAAAATACTCCATTTATACAACAAAAAGTGTGATATCTTTAAAAGGATTTCCTACATTGCTTTATCATGCAAACTATCCAGAGTTGCTATTGGAATCTAGTAGTTATTCTTTTTTTAAAATATTTATTTCTTTATTATGTATACAATATTCTGTCTGTATGTCTGCAGGCCACAAGAGGGCACCAGACCCCAGTACAGATGGTTGTGAGCCACCATGTGGTTGCTGGGAATTGAACTCAGGACTTTTGGAAGAGCAGTCAGTGCTCTTAACCTCTGAGCCATCTCTCCAGCCCCCAGTTACTGTTTTTTAAAACAGGGTCTCGTTCTTTGGCACAGATTGGCCTCTGATTTCCAGTCGTGTTGCCTTAGCTTTCCTAGTCAGTTATTAAAAGTATGAGAAACTACATCCAGGTGTTTCAGTAGTGACTTGACTTGAGTGTTAACATGCTAGTTAGTGGTCTTTAAGAATTTTAATTAATGTCCTGAAATAATAACATGGATGGTTATTTAATATTCTACTTTAAAACTGTTAAAGCTTGTCAAATACATAGCATACTAAGAACTTTAATGTGGGATGGAGTACACTTTCTGTTACATGGAAAACTCCATCCCGATTTAGAATTAACATTGTGACTAGAAAGTCTGGGCAAAGTTATCTTCTCTGACTGACCACAGCTTTGCCTGTGGCATTAAATCCTCCTTGATCTTTTTATGTTGGAAATAGGAAGGGCTGGTAATGAAAGGTCAGTTGGTAGAATGCTTGCCTAGCATACACAGAAGCTTTGAGTTTGGTTTCCCAGCAGTATATAATGTGCTTATGATCCCAGCCTTTAGAACTGGGAGACAGGAGAACACAGTCTAAGGTCAGTTATGACTATAGTGAAGTCAAGGCCATGCTGAGATTCTTACCACCAAAATGAAAATAACTCACTGTAATATTTTTTCCACTATTTTTAAATCGATATCAAAAATAATGTCAGTAATGTCTTAAGACTATCACAAATCTTAAGGTGTATTTTACCACCTTGTTTAAACTTTTGTTTTCATTTTAATAGACTGACTTCCTATTGGTAGTACTACGTGATGTCGTTCTAGCTTATCCTGAAGTCCGCATCGTTCTTATGTCTGCAACTATCGATACTACCATGTTCTGTGAATATTTCTTTAATTGCCCTATCATTGAAGTTTATGGAAGGACTTTCCCGGTTCAAGGTAAATTTTGTATTGATGTGATAGGAAGAAAATCATGATTTGTGCTGGAGGTTTTGCATTTTCTTAATTTGGAGGTCAGCGTGATAGTTTAAAAGACTGAAAACATGTCATTGGCTCAGACACCTGTAACTCCATTCAGTCCCAGGGGAATCCAACCTCCTCTCTGGTTTTTATCAAATGTCTTAGCATTTGGGGAACCTTGCTTGCCTGTGGTACTTTGTTTTCCGGAGTAAAATCAGATTTCATTCACTTTTTGAAAGTGGTTTCTATGCTTTTTAAAATTTGAATCAACATAGAGCTCATAATTTTATTGAAATAACATTACACAATCCAAATGAGGAAATATGAAAAAGCTAAGAGCTTTAACATTTTGTTCGCATGAAATGACTAGCCATGCTGTTACTATATTTTTTTAGTTCAGTAGTAAATTGTAGGTAACTGAGAAACAGGTCATTCAGTGTTTGTTGTATAAGCACAAAGACCTGAGTTTAAATACTTGCCCAACACCCATCTAAAAAGCCTGTTACTGTAGCTTATGCTTGTATCCCTGGAACTAAAATGTTAGGAATGGGAGGTTCTACAGAACTTCCTGACCTATCAGTGAGCTCAGATTTTATAAAAAGCGATTGAGAAAGATAAAAATGTACATAAAATACACTATAAAAGGTTACTATACCAATGAAGTATAGGCTAATTTTATTTCTTAGGGTATGGGTTTTAAAGTTCAAATATTTGCTGTGCATCTGTACTTTGGAGCTTTATAAAGATTTTTAGAGAGTAAACCTAGTTTCTTACAGATTGCAGTGACTCTTAATTGCTGCAAACTGACACCATGGCTAAGGAGAGAAAAGGTTTTGGGTTAGTCCATGATTAATATGGTGTCGACCACTGAGGAAGGCAGGTATACCTCTGGGACAACAACTTGAGTTGATAGAATCATACCTATGCTTTTTAAAAAATTGATCATCTGAACTTTTGAAATAACTTCTTGCACAGTCCAATTGAGGAAATGCAAATACCCTAGGAGACTTAACAGTCAGGTGAAATGAATATTCATGCCACTGCACTTGTTAAAACTTTTATTTGTATTTTATTTGTGTTGTTCTGCCTGCACGCATGTCCATGTGAGGGTGTCAGATGTCCTCAAACAGGAGTTCTTGACCGTTGTAAGCTGCCACTTGGGTGCTGGGCACTTGAACCTGAGTCCTAGAAGAGCAGCCATCTCTCCAGTTCCATTCCACTACATTTTAAAAATCTCTCCTAATCTGCAGGCAGAAGTCAGTGATGGGCGCAGTTTGAGCAGAAAGTTAATGATGGTACTAGATTATACCTAAATCTCAAAATATATAAATATACCCTGAATAGAAAAGTACGTGGTAATTAACAGATTTCCTTATCAGTGGAATTTACTACTACTTAATATGTAGATTTGATAACAAATTTCGATCCTAATGTGTGTAGTTCTGAGTGACTGGAGAGCATTACTTAATAGTGAATAAAATTGGTGGACATTAATTTAGGTGATGGTGTGTGCACCTTTGGTTTGCAGTCTTGGTGGTCACTGGTGAAGATACAGAAGACAGATTATAGAGACAATTCTTAACTTTTTAGAATTTCAGGCACATTATTGGTTAGCTATCTTCCAGTCTTCGGAGTAGGACAATATATACAGTTTCCAAGTGTATTTCCTTGAAAAATGTGTATAAAGGGGAACCTCCAGCTGGTTTTGTAAAAATTTATGTAAGAATTACCTAAATTTTTTTCTAGAGTTCAAGGGAGACATAATTTAGTTTACATTGTTGAAGTTTAATTATGAAAACTCACTGTTGGAATTTATAATAGTTGGGAAAACTCTGGTTGAGCGGTTTGAATTACAGATTAGGTAATGAAAATCATTTTATGGATGTGCCATTTTGTAAATTATCAAGTGCATAACTAATGTGATTATCCTTGCCAGAATATTTTCTAGAAGATTGCATTCAGATGACCCAATTCGTTCCCCCTCCAAAGGACAAAAAGAAGAAAGATAAGGAAGATGATGGTGGTGAAGATGATGATGTAAGTAAATCTACTTTACACCTTCAGGAATGAGAAATGTTCATTGTGAGAGTGTTTGATGGAGAAGAAAATGAGTGGTTAAAGCATAGCATGAATTAAATTGGCATTGCAGAGTCCTTTAAAATCATTTTTAATGTCTATTATTAGGTTAATGACTATTAATACAAATAATTCCAGGTTCAGTGCCAAGAGACTTCTAAGACTACACAGGTTAACTTATGGCATAAAAGTTTTTTTTTTTTTTTAAATTATTTATTTATTATGTATACAATATTCTGTCTGTATGCCTGAAGGCCAGAAGTGGGCGCCAGACCTCTTTACAGATGGTTGTGAGCCACCATGTGGTTGCTGGGAATTGAACTCAGGACCTTTGGAAGAGCAGGCAATGCTCTTAACCACTGAGCCATCTCTCCAGCCCCGGCATAAAAGTCTTAAAAGGATTTCTATAAAGTTCTAGGACTATTTGTAGTTGAATTCTCTATATCCCAGGAAAATAATAGGAAATTCAGTTTATCATAGGTTCTATATATATTCATGGCTATCAGTTGTATAGGTGCTTCCAGAGATGTCGGGGCAGGTGTGCTTCCTTGCAGGTCAAATTGCAGATAAGTCCCTGATGTAGGTGATAAGAAATGAATGTGAAAATGCCCTTTACTGCTGACCATCTCTCTACCTTAGAAGTTGGTCAATCTCTGTTTTTAGAGTCAAGGTTTCTCTGTAACAGCCTGGCTGAAACAGTTTGCTTCCCCAGTGCTAGAGTTCACACTGTGTTTTCCCAACCAAGCATAAATCAAATATGCCAGGCCTTCCTTTGAGCCACTAACCAGGTACCAAACAATTACATGGAGACTTAATAAATATTCATTACAAATGCTTGTCATTGTGCTTGTTTCTAGCTAGCTCTTAATAACTTACCTATTTCTCTCCATCTATGGTTTGCATTGTGTCTTTTCTTCTGTATGTCTTATTCCGTCTGATTGGCTACTGGCTGGCTGGCTGGCTGGCTGGCTGGCTGGCTGGCTGGCTGGCTGGCTGGCTGGCTGGCTAGCTTGGTTGCTTCAGGAGCCTTTCCCCTTGTTCTCTTTTTCTATTTATTTTCTGCCTAGGATCCAGGCTTATTCTTCTCCTGCCTAGCTATTGGCTGTTGAGTTGCCTTAGGCAGATAAGATGAAACATTATCATTAAACAAATGCCATATAAATAAATGTAACACATCTTTACACAGTTGAAGTAGTATTCCAAAGTACTGGTTTCATAATGAAAGTATGACTATCTACCCTAGGGTTAGACAGTATTGTTAAATGTTACTTGCTTAGAAAAAATAAACCCAAGAGAATTGAACTGTTAATTATGTGTGACAAATCCCGTTTTCTTGCAGGCAAATTGCAATCTAATATGTGCTGATGAATATGGTCCAGAAACAAAATTGAGCATGTCTCAGTTGAATGAAAAGGAAACTCCTTTTGAACTCATTGAAGCTCTCCTTAAGTACATCGAAACCCTCAATGTTCCAGGAGCTGTGTTGGTCTTCTTGCCTGGCTGGAATTTGATATATACTATGCAAAAGCATTTGGAAAATAATTCACATTTTGGTATGACTGAGTTCTCTTGTTTTAGATTTACGATGAATATGTTTACTTTTATACTAGCTTGTATGTTGCTGTGTTTAATGAAGGTATGTGTAATGAAGAACAATCATTTAACTTGCTCTTTTTGTTCTTATCCTTTTTGTATTGTAGGAAGTCACCGGTATCAAATTCTACCTCTGCATTCTCAGATCCCTCGGGAGGAACAGCGTAAAGTGTTTGATCCAGTTCCAGATGGAGTGACCAAAGTAAGGAGGGAATTACAGTGAGGTCAGATGTGAAAGAGATGTTAAATATTAATAAATGTTTGAATGCCTCTTAGAAAATGAACAAATACCAAAATCTAAATAAAAAAAGGTCTTCCAGTCTAACCTTGATAGTCCCCTCCCCCTTCTTATTCCTGTTGCTGTAATTCCTCTTTTACTACGGGTTAAATGATTTTCTAATTTGTGTGTTCATAAGTGGAATATTTTCTATAGTGTAATTTTTTTGTATTTTTTTGCAGGTTATTTTGTCCACAAATATTGCTGAGACAAGCATCACCATAAATGATGTTGTTTATGTCATTGACTCCTGCAAGTAAGTTCCAGGGAATCTTTTTTTTTTACTTTTAGCAACTGCCAAACTTCATCATATATATAAAACCTTTTGTGTAATTTTTCAATTTATTGAAATTGTATTTTTTTTTTTATGTGTATCAGTGTTTTCTTTGCTTATGTGCCTGCACTAGTTGTGTGCTTGGAGGCCTTGGAGGCTAGAAGAATGTATAAGCTACCCAAGAACTAGAATTAAAGATGTTGTGAGCTGCCATGGGGTGCTGCTTGGAATTGAAACTTGGGTCTTATGTAAGATAGTCACTGAGCCATCTCTTATAATTATTTCTTTTGAAGTGTTTGTGTTGCCTATGCTCACCTCTATACTTGAGATTTTTCTTACTAAGTACTGGGGTTTGTATCATTGCTGTGTACCATAACACTTAGATTTTAACTTCATTGTCAAATTCTATACTTTTAGACCCAATGTGTTTGTATGTCTTAGATGTAGTTAAAGAGCACAGACTAACCATATTTAGTAGACAACAAAAATTTACCACTAATATCTTACTTTGTGTCATATGGTTTGTTATTGTTTTTGAGTATTCTGTTGTTTAGGGATGACATGCAGTGACCATACTTTTTAAGCCACGTATTCCGTAAGCACTCATTCACTCTCTGGATCAAACCTATCTATCATATCTTTGAAGAAGCAAGAATATGTCCTCTCACCTTTGGTTAAGGTGTAACAGACCCATTTATTTAGTTTCCCACATAAACATAACTCTTATTCAGAGTGACAGTCTCACTCTTTTAAGAATGTAGTAAACTCCAGCCTGGTGGTTTGGCATCTATAGTGCAACCGACTCATAAAATTTATGTGAGTTGAGTCATGGTGTTGTCTATAGGTAAAGTCAGTTTGTGCACATTTGTTGAGGACAATAAAGCCTAGTTAAAGCTGGCATTATTATTTTTTTTTAAATATTTTTTATGGTTTATTTAACTTTATTTTATGTGCATTGGTGTGAAGGTGTCAGATCCCCTGCAACTGGATCTTCAGACAGTTGTGAGCTGCCATGTGGGTGCTGGGAATTGAACCCGGGTCCTCTGGAAGAGCAGTCAGTGCTCTTAACCACTGAGCCATTTCTCCAGCCCCAGCTGGCATTATTATTGCACATATATCTTTCTAAGTAGATATATTTGTCAGTCATTCTGTTTTGTTTTTGAGTGTGTATGTTCACACCCATGCATACAACTGTGTAAGCCTGAGGCAACCTCATCTATGCACACACCTTATTCTGAGATAAGGTTTGTCCTTGAGCTTGGGAACACACTGGCTGACCAGAGAATTTCTAGAATCTATTATCTCCACATCAAGCATGTTATAATTTTGCTTAGGGTATGTGGTGCATATAATGTTGATGTATCTTTGAATAGATTGGTAGCTAAGAATATAAAGTCATTGATTCCTTCCTTGTTCTGTCTTCAATTACTATTTTTTCTTGTTTAGACAAAAAGTGAAATTGTTTACTGCTCATAACAACATGACCAACTATGCTACTGTGTGGGCATCAAAAACAAACCTTGAACAGAGGAAAGGGAGAGCTGGCCGAGTGCGACCTGGGTTCTGCTTTCACCTGTGTAGTCGAGCTCGTTTTGACAGGTAAAGTCTCTTTAATTTGACATTGGTTGTATATAGAAGTGAAGATCATGGAGAAAATTCTTAGCATTTCTTACTAAGCTGTCTTGTCCAATGAGATCAGTTTTAAAATAAGAACTTTTTAAAATCTTGTGTGTGTGTGTATACATATATATGCAGTTCTTCCATCCATCAGTGCTTCAGTGAGGTATATTTAAACTAAATGGGATTATAGTGAGACTAAGAAAAGAAATTTAGAGGTTGCTAGTGTTGTTTTCTTTAACAAAAAGATTTCTTTATCAGTTTGGAATTACAAATTATACAGGGATAGTTAGTTTTTTGTTAGCCATGTCTTAAAATTTTAGGTTTTGGTCCATTGACTAAGATAGATTAACCTTGCTGGCCTTGAACTTGAGGGTGACCAAGTGCTGATATTAAAGACCTGTCACCCATATTCAGCAGTAGAGTAGTTCTTATTTTTATTTTTACCATATTACCTGTTTCATAGTACTCATTCCCAAGAAACACTGGATATTAAAGATGAAAGATACATGATATTTAGAGTTCTAGCTTTATGTGTAATTAGGACAGTAAGCAAAGTAAAAAATTAGTTAACTGTTTTACCAGCAATTATAAATGTACATTTAGATCAACATAGAGCTCCAATATTTAGATGTGGAGTTCTTTCAAAAGTATTAGATTTTGGAAGTGGTAGCATTGACTTTTTCATGCTCTTTCACTTAGTTGAAAAGGCATGGCTTTGAGAGTAAAGATAGAAACCAGTTTATAAGTCTACTCTGTAAGGCATGGCTGTAATGCATAGGAAAAATTGTGGTAATTATAAGATGATGAGAAAGGAACAATACCATATACTATTGTTTTTTATGCAGATTTTGTTGGATTGTCATTGCACACATAGGTGAGGCTTACTTTTTTTCCTGCTCCTGTAAATTTTAGACTGGAAACCCACATGACACCAGAGATGTTCAGAACACCTTTGCATGAAATTGCTTTGAGCATAAAACTTCTGCGTCTAGGTGGAATTGGCCAGTTTCTTGCAAAGGCAATTGAACCTCCACCTTTGGATGCTGTGATTGAAGCAGAGCATACGCTTAGAGGTAAATGCTGATACCTTATGCTGTCTTTCCTTAGGTAGCAAGTTCCACTTAAAGTGTGTCAAATGATAGACTTGGTAAAGCTGTGTTAGTAAAGGCTTCTTAGCATCACTATTTCCTTGAGCTTGAAGGCTGAAGGAGAATAAATGGGTCTCGTTTAGAAAGCATATAAGGTATATACAGAATGCTACATCTTAAGAATCAGTACATGCATTATTCCTTGACTTGCATTTAATATTAGCATGTATGTCTTAGAGTCTTTTTTCGTCCCACATCTCAGATCTGTTATAAAAAAGTGTAATGAAAAGTGAAGGCATTGAAGCCAGAAGCACTCTGTATTGAATTTGGAATTTTGTACTTAAACTGTTAACCCAGATTTTTTATTTATTTATTTATTTATTTATTTATTTATTTTTTGAGACAGGGTTTCTCTGTAGCTTTTTGGTTCCTATCCTGGAACTAGCTCTTTTAGACCAGGCTGGCCTCGAACTCCGCCTGCCTCTACCTCTCGAGTGTTGGGATTAAAGGCAAGTGCGCCACCACAGCCCGGGTTCAATTTCTTTTTTATGGGTTATGTGGATACTTAATGCTGTTATTATTATATTGACTAACTTTGGGCTATAGACCATCCACATTTGCCCAAAACCTGTTTGAGTAAAAGGAACTATAAATAGTGTCTTGTATTTAGTATACCAGAATTCTTTTTTTTTTCCATGTTTTTTGACTGAATCATTTGCTCTGGCTTTATACTTGACTCTTGCATGGACATATAATGAAGTATGTACATTTATTGGCATTATCACTCACGAATAAGTATCTTCCCACAGAACTTGATGCTTTAGATGCCAATGATGAGTTGACTCCTTTGGGACGAATCCTGGCTAAACTCCCCATTGAGCCTCGTTTTGGAAAAATGATGATAATGGGGTGTATTTTCTAGTAAGTTTGTTTTCTTGTTTGTAGTTAAGAGATGGGATGGCTTTCATTAACGGAGGTGGTCTGGTTAGAAAAAAATTACGGGGGAAATGTTATGTTTACAGGCCAGTTAGGTTCAGTACTTGAAAGTAGTATCCTCTCCAACAAATGTTTCTGTTCATATTTGAAAGCCTTTCTGACATAAAGATTGTGTGATTCACTGTTAACTTTTATTTTTCCAGTGTGGGAGATGCTGTCTGTACCATCTCAGCTGCTACTTGCTTTCCAGAGCCCTTTATCAGTGAAGGAAAACGCCTGGGCTATATTCACCGGAATTTTGCTGGAAACAGATTTTCTGATCATGTGGCTCTTTTATCAGTATTCCAAGCCTGGGATGATGCTAGGTATGGAGTTAAAGGCAATTCCTTAAGAAACTACGTAACTGTCTGAGTTCATAGTCCTGCATGCAAACTTGCTGAGCCTTTGAGAACGAATGCTTTTCCATTTTGTTTTAGGATGAGCGGAGAAGAAGCAGAAATACGTTTTTGCGAGCAAAAGAGACTCAATATGGCTACACTAAGAATGACTTGGGAGGCCAAAGTACAACTTAAAGAGATTCTGATTAACTCTGGCTTTCCAGAAGGTAAGATGTCTGTCATTTGTCAGCTGATAATTGTGGCTCATGTTGGTAAGTTCAGAATCCAGGAAGCTAAAGCCAGAGTATAGACTCATTGAGAATTCAAGGATTGACAGCTTGAACTAGTGAGTGCCTAAACACCCTTTCTCAATTACAGGAGAAAGCTTCCCCTTGCAAAATATTCTTTGTGAACTCTTAAGCTAACATGTATATTAACAACAGAGTACTCGTAATAGTCTCAGCTGTTTGTTGGAGCATAATATATAATTCTTTGATGCAACAGTAATCCAACTTTCCATTTCCCTATAGTTCAGTTTGTCTTTTCTAAGTAGATTAAGCTTTGTGACCTGAGAAGAATAGTGAAAAATAGAATGTTAGCACCAGGAAGTAGAATTTTAAAGGGTTATGAATTGAATTCTTTCTAAACTGATACTGTGAAAAAGGGAGAAAATATTTTTATATATTAGACCCTAAAAATAATATAGGTGAAGCTACTATTCAGCTTTTTATAGCAAGTAGAATTAACATTGTTTAGGCTGTGAGGTGGCGGTACATACCTTTAATCCCAGCACTTGGGAGGCAGAGGCAGGCGGATCTCTGTGAGTTTGAAGCCAGCCAGGTATGCAAGAGCTAGTTCCAGGAAAGGCTCCAAAGCTAGAGAAACCCTATCTAAAAAAAAATTCAGAACAAAACAAGAAAAAACAGCATTTAAATGATTTTGGTACATTCAAGTACATGTAGTAGAAATGTTTTATATAGCACATTGCTGTTTGGTTTCCGTTCGATGATAAAGTACTGCTAGGGTGTATCTTGGCTGAAAATAGCCATCATTGCAGTGACTTTTAGATTGTCCTTTTCATCTTCTGCTAGTAATAAGAATGGATACCTTTGGTTACAGAATCTTATCACAAAAGCTCCTTCAAATAGTTGTCAGGGCGTTTAGCAGAGTCATACTATTACCTCATTTTTAACAATCATTTCTTTAAATTCTTTTTAACAGATTGTTTGTTGACACAAGTGTTTACTAACACTGGACCAGATAATAATTTGGATGTCGTTATCTCTCTGCTGGCCTTTGGTGTGTACCCCAACGTATGCTATCATAAAGAAAAGAGAAAGATTCTTACCACTGAAGGGCGTAATGCCCTTATCCACAAATCATCTGTGAACTGCCCTTTTAGCAGCCAAGACATGAAGTACCCATCTCCTTTCTTTGTTTTTGGTGAAAAGGTAAGATTAGGGAAGTCTGAAGGATCAGTTTTCTTTTCATGCCATAGCTAATTACCTGTCAGTGTGTAACATTTGGCCTTTTTTTTATCTGCAGATTCGAACCCGAGCCATCTCTGCTAAAGGAATGACCTTAGTCACCCCCTTACAGTTACTTCTGTTTGCCTCCAAGAAAGTCCAGTCTGATGGACAGATCATATTTATAGATGACTGGTATGTGCTTTCAGGTGACTCCCAACTGAATTTTTAGAATTGAGAATTTTTAGAATTCAATTTTTATTTTGAAACAAGACAAGATTTCTTTCACATTTAAGGTTTATTTTATAATTTATTTTCTTGGAGTTGCAAATCTTTCTGATCCAGTTATAGGATTGGTCATTTTTGAGTTGTTTAATAAGGTTATTGCTGATTATTCATGCTTTCTTTTTTTTTTAAATATTTATTATGTATACAATATTCTGTCTGCGTGCATGCCCGACGGCCAGAAGAGGGCGCCAGACCTCCTCACAGATGGTTGTGAGCCACCATGTGGTTGCCGGGAATTGAACTCAGGACCTTTGGAAGAGCAGGCAATGCTCTTAACCTCTGAGCCATCTCTCCAGCCCTATTCATGCTTTCATATAGCCTTGGAAAATGTCTAATTCTAATAAAATAAGCAGTTAAATTTAAGCCACATGGGAGGCAAATTTATTAACCTAAATAGTCATCTGTCTCTTTCTGTGTATGTCTTGTTTCCCTTCATCTTAGGATCAGACTGCAAATATCACATGAAGCTGCAGCATGCATCACAGCCCTCCGGGCCGCCATGGAAGCTCTGGTTGTTGAAGTGTCCAAACAACCAAATATCATCAGCCAATTGGACCCTGTAAATGAACATATGCTGAATACGATCCGTCAGATTTCTAGGCCTTCAGCTGCTGGTATCAACCTTATGATTGGAAGTGTACGGTGAGTACTTAATGAAATTTTTGTGTATAAAGCTTTTGCAGAATTATTAAAGTTAGTTGGTAAAGTTCTTGCCACTTAGGTTAAAATTATAAATACACCAAATTCCATATTTAATGTTTGACACAGAACAAAAGATTTCCTTTTGCTTTTCTTAATCTGTGTGCACAATATCCCCACATACTAAATAAAACGCAGAAGAGTAGAATGTATCGAGTGTTATAAGCTAGATGATACACTTTCCGTAATACTGTGTTTATTTCAGATACAGTAGAATTACTTCTTCAAGTAGAAAGATAGGTATTTAATAGAAACTGTTTTAAGAAATATGAAATTTCTCCTTATAAAATACTTGTATTTTCTTAGTGCCCCCTACATTGATAACATATTTGTGTTCAGTGGATGCTTACGTTTTTCATTTAGGTTTACTAGTTTTTAGTATTTTATTGAATTTAATTATTGTAGTTGTAAACATACTGATTAGTCTGCTTAATATTCTTTACGCATGGCTTCAATGTCATCCTGCTAAATTAACTATTACAATAGTATACAAATATGCAGAAAGTCTTTTGTATTTTTATCAAGTTATTTGCTTCTAATTTCAGTATAGCTGAAGTGTTATTAATTCTGGTCTCTTTGATTTAGTGTGCACAGCTCTGGGTTCATTCCCTTTTACCACACATATACCTAAAGAGGTTTGTTGTTTTCTTGCTTTTCCTAGGTATGGCGATGGTCCTCGCCCTCCCAAGATGGCCCGATACGATAATGGAAGTGGATTTAGAAGAGGATATGGTGGAGGAGGATATGCCGGGGGAGGATATGGTGGTGGCTATGGTGGAGGAGGCTTTGGAGGCGGCTTTGGAAGTGGTGGGGGAGGCTTTGGAGGTGGCTTCAACAGTGGCGGGGGTGGCTTCGGTAGTGGTGGGGGAGGCTTTGGAAGTGGTGGAGGTGGCTTTGGTGGTGGCGGAGGAGGCTTCGGTGGTGGGGGAGGTAATTTTGGTGGTGGCAGAGGCGGCAACTTTGGGGGTAGTGGAGGCTTTGGAAGCAGTGGGGGAGGCTATGGTGGAGGAGGTGGGGGCTATGGAGGTGGTGGTAGTGGTGGTGGGGGCTATGGAGGAGGCAGTGGAGGTTATGGAGGTGGTGGGGGAGGTTATGGTGGTGGAGAAGGTTACAATATTAGCCCCAACTCCTACCGTGGAAATTATGGCGGAGGAGGTGGTGGTGGTGGTGGTGGATATAGAGGAGGTTCCCAAGGGGGCTACAGAAACAACTTCGGTGGAGACTACAGAGGATCTAGTGGCGATTACCGTGGATCTGGTGGGGGCTACAGAGGATCTGGAGGATTCCAGCGAAGGGGTGGCTATGGAGGTGGTTATTTTGGACAAGGAAGAGGAGGAGGGGGTGGTGGTGGTGGTGGTTATTAAGGCTTGTGTCAGCCTGTGCAGACAATTTAAAAATGCATGCTATGTGTTTTTCCAAGATGTTTATTTGCACCCAAAAAGCAAACCCATTTTCCACTTAATCTGTAGCTTATTGTAGTTTCAAGCAAGGAAGAATGTAGACTAGTGATTTTGTTTATATTATGTAATGTAAAATATGACCTATTATACAGGTATCATACCATACAGTTTGTATTTTTTCTTCAAGGGATAAAGGTTTGCCTTTTAACTTAACTTGACATTTTCTTGGTTTTCATTTAATAGAAAATAAAGTATTACACTGAAAATTAATTGGCTGTGTGTTTTTTTTTTAAGAGTTTGAGCGCCCCCACCCTCCTTTTTAGGCATGTCAGCATCTCCAGGAACTAACTGGTTTGTCTCTGTTTCCCAAGTGCTGGGGTTAAAGGTTGTACACCACACCGTATTGACTTCAAGCACTTTTGTACCTTGTTGAAACATTTGACCTTAGCTGAAACACTGTCTTTGAAAAAAACCAAGGCCAGCATTTTCTGTTTAATTCTTTCAATTTAGTTCTTTTTTTTTTTTTTTAAAGATTTATTTATTATGTATACAACATTCTGCCTTGATATATGCCCACAAACCAGAGGAGGGCGCCAGATCTCAGTACAGATGGTTGTGAGTCACCATGTGGTTGCTGGGAATTGAACTCAGGACCTCTGAAAGAGCAGCCAGTGCTCTTAACCACTGAGCCATCTCTCCAGCCCTCAAATTAGTTCTTGAGGGGTTTGAGGGGGATAGGGTAGTATAAGCTATAGTATCTATATATTATCTTATATATCTTATATTATCTAGTCAATAAAAAAAAGGTTGGTGAGCTTTGCAGTGCATTACTTAGTATTTAAGAGTAGAAAAGAATTGAGTTCTTTCCCATTAACATCTCAAAGGATGTAAAGCTAGAGGTATCTTTTGAATACCTTACATTTTTCTAATTATCTACTAGAGTTCTGGGGGAAAAGGAATCCTGGAAATCTAACCCAGGGCCTAATGCTAGCTAAGTCTCTTAGGTTCCCCAGGAAGGCTCCAATATTGGAGGTAAATCACACAATACAGCAGGGTCCAAATTGAAGGACTGCTAACCACCATCTTGGGTGGATTGATTGGGCACGCTTTTTGAAAATCTTTATGCATCCTCTGGTTTTATGATATTAAGGCATGTTTTCCCAATGAGCTACTTTCCTGTCATAGCATAGGTGCTTTTAGATTCTTCAGTCTGTTACAATTTGTCATCTCCGATTTGCCATTTCCATGTGTATGGACACAGGGTTTAGCTATTTAGTTGCATGTTTGAGCTAGTCAGAACTGGCTGTTCTTGTTCATAAAACATCTTAATTGGTCCTGCACCCAATACATTCTCCATAGTACAGCTAATGCCACTTTTCCTTAAATTTTGGTGATTTTTTTTTTATTTGAGCTATGTTTTTCTCTGCTCCCCTCCCTGCTGCTTCCCTCTTCAACCGACTCCCAAGGTCCCCAGTGCACCCAATTTACTCAGAAGATCTTGTCTTTTTCTACTTTCCTTGTAGATTAGATCTATGTATGTCTCATTGTTGTCTAGGTTCTCTGGGATTGTGACTTCTGGGCTGGTTTTCTTTGTGTTTAAAAACCACTTATGAGTACATACGATAATTGTCTTTCTGGGTCTAGGTTACCTCAGTGTTTTCTAGCTCCATCCATTTGTCTGGGAAATTCAAGATGTTACTTTTTTTCTCTGTCTAGTACTCCATTGTGTAAATGTGCCACATTTTCCTTACCCATTCTTCAGTCGAGGGGCATTTAGGTTTCCAGGTTCTGGCTATGACAAAGCTTCTATGAGCATAGTTGAGCGCATGTCTTTGTGGCAGGGTTGAGCATCCTTTGGATATATATCCAAAAGTGGTATTGCTGTGTTTTGAAGGTTGTTTCATATTTGGAGGTTAACATAGAGTTAATGTGTTGGCTGTTGCCCAAAGCAGTGATTTTTTTTTTCACTTGAGAATGAAGTACCAATTAGAGCAAGCAGTTTCAATAGTGGATGGCCTCACTTTTTTTGAGACAAGAAACAGTCCTGGAACTCTCCATAGATCAAGCTGGCCTTGAACTAAGATCTGCCCATTTCTGCCTCCCGAGTGCTGGGATCAAAAGTGCATCCTACCACCCAGCTCCTCATTGTACTTTTATGGTATTTTGGCAGTTAACACCCTACTGGAAAAAGTGAAACTATTAAAAACACCAGTTTCGGTTTGAAATGTAGGCTGGATGGGAGTGTGAAAGCTACCAGTGAAGCTGCACTTAAGATCAGTGCAAGAGGAAGTGAAGGGTTCCCTTCAGATCTGTTCAGATGATAGGTAGCCAAGCAAACATAGAAGTCAGAATATAAAGGATACCAGAAGTGGGTTAAAGTTAATAAAATTGTATTTGACAAAAGTTGAGGTCAATTACTGTTAAGACAAAAAAAAAAAATGCAAGGATGGGTCTGTATGCCTTTAACATGGCTTTTACTAGATAATACCCAAGACTGAGTCAGCATTGCATTTTGTCAGACTTTAGTGATTTGGCAGGATTTAGCTGTTGTGTGGACGACTTCTACTCATCTCATACAGGGGGAAGCCTGTGAACTAAGATTTTGTTACTTTTTTGTTGTATGCTCACCCAAGAGTATATGTAGGGGACCTCCAAAGTTGGAATGGGCACTGGGCCCAGCCATTGAGTTCCCTCACCAACACATTAAAAGTCTGGATGAGGTCTCAGAACAACTTTAAGCCAATGCAAACAACTGGAGAGAATTATGAGGTCATCCTCTAGTTAAATTAGAATCTACAAAGGATTTGGGGGGTGCATTGGGGTTTCTGTTGCTGTGGAAACTGGCCCAAAGCAACTTGGGGTTTAAGGGTTATGAAGGAAGTAAGGACTGAAGCAGAAGTCCTGAAGGAAAGCTGTTTACTGGCATGCTCAGTGTTTTCCTGTACCATCCAGGACCCCCTGCCTGAGAGTGACATCATCCATAATGGGCTAGGCCCTCCTACACCAATCATTAGCCAAAATGTTCCACAGGCTTGCTACCTTGCAAAAAGATTTTCTCTATTGAGGTTCAAGTAGGAATAATGTGACAAAATGGTAGAATGTGTGCTTAGTATATGTAATGCTTAGGTCTTTGATAAACACACAAATGTTCATCAAATTTATCTAAATTTAGACTCCCAGTGACTTGAGAAAAAATTATTGATGGGGAATCTTAGTCAACCAATTATCTTTAAAAGGTAGGACCAATTTAGGGCGTGGACTTTCTGGGTACCTGGAGAAAAACCAGGCAGCCCAAGGTTTATGCTCTCTGGTTCCTGCTCTGTACTGCTGAGCTTGGACTTCTCGTTCTCATTTTGTGAGTTTAATAATAATAATAAACTATATTTTGGTTAAGTTGGTTTTTTTCTCGATCTGAAATAATTCAACAATTATCGACAAAATAATGGTCCATCATATAGTCCTAGTCCTCAGAACTATCAGTACATATTTTCTTAAATGCAAGGTTCAATGTGATTTAGGTTAAGGTTCCTCACTGAGATCATTCTTGGTTATTCAGGTGAACCTAATCTAGCCAAAATGGTTGGAAAAGGAAAAATGGAATGTAGCCCAGGCTGGCCTCAGACACTTCCTGTAGCACTGGCTGACCTTGACTGTCCTGATTGTCCTATTTTCATATCCCTAGTACTTGGATTATAGGCACACACTACCATGCAGGTTTGTGGTGCTAGTGCTAGAACCCAGGGCTTTATTCCCGTTAGGCCAGCACTTTACCTACTGAAGTACATCCCCAACCCCTCAGCTACACTTGTAGCTAAGAGTAAATTCTATGGCACAACTCAACTTAATGAAGTTACAGTATCTTAGAAAATACATTAAAACGAATAATTCAATGAAAGCATTTAAATGTTTTAATCTTTGAATTTAAACTACAATTTCTGTGAGATAAATCATTTATTACATTTCTGAACTATAAAATAGGAACACCTATCCAGATGCCTTAGCCAGTGACTATCCTAATATCCCCCTTTAGGTTTGCTTCTATCCTGTTGTTGTTCATTTCCACATTCAGAGTTTGCATGACTTTGGAGAGGATTTTGTCATCCTTTTTATCTCCTGAAGCAGCCCCTTTGTTGAGAGCTGCTTCTGCTACAATAAAGAACTGTTCCGATGGCTGAAGAATGCTCACTCCATAGCCATTGTTGTTGTAGATATGATTATTAGTCATCTTCAGTTTGGGTGCTGGAAGAACCTGTTAAATTATTGGAGAAAGTCAGCTATTCAGTAATTCTGATAGAAAGAAAACAAGAGCTAACAAGATGGCACAGGAACTTACTCTGAAGTCACCAGGGTTTTTAAAGCTACGAGAGTTAGTGCCAAACAAATGTGTATTATAGTTTTTATCCAAACTGATACAAATAATTCTAGATAGGGGATGCAGCCTGTTAATATCTACAGCATAGTCAAGCACGAAATGATTCTAGGTAATGTGTTACGGAAGAATACAATAGGTCAATGAAACAGCATGACTTGGTAAAGACAGGCTGCCACCTAAGTGGAATGCCCTCTATTTCTCTGAACAATGATAATGGAGTATATTCACTCATTTCTTGCAGATACAGAATGTGTTTCAGGTTAACATTACACAGGGGACTTGGACGGGATCTAGTTTACTACATCTCAGGAGTGAGGCTCAAAGACCTACAGGGATTTTGAAATTGTTTGCTGTTCTTTGCAATCCTGCCTCTGCTTTCTGGCAGGATGCTGCAGTTTCAGCAAGTGACCACACGATGTCAGTGCTGTGCTGTTCTAGGGTTACTGTAAACAGTGGGATTATGTTTTAGGGAGTGGCCAGCAATTTTAGCATCCCTTTGGAAACTGACCAATTTTCAGGCTTCACTCTACACCTACTGAATTGGTAACCTGGGTGTACCTCTGTGGTTAAGAGTGGTCCTGATACAAGCTAATATTTCTGAACAATTGAGGATTATTTAAGAACAGAAACAACAGCAACAAAATGGAACTTGAGAAGTGGCTCAGTGGTTAAGAGCACTGGTTGCTCTTCCAGAGCACCCAGGTTCAATTTCCAGCACTCACATGGCAGCTCACCCTGTCTGTATCTACATTTCCAGGGCTTCTGACACCCTCACACAGACGTACATGCCATCTTGTGCAGGCAAAACACCAATTGTCATGAAATTTAAGGTGTTTTAAGATATATTAGGCTTTTCAAAATCGATCTTCCATGTACCATTCTTCCTTACCTGACTGAT